GTCTGACTAGCGGCTAACGAGAGCTGTTTGGATCATTGTTAATCGTGCAAATAAAAGGATCGATACGCTATTACAGTTAACTCACAATTCCACTAATTCGATTGGCCTACCCCGTTTGATTATAGTAACAAATCTACTTTCCTCGAATTAGTATATAAAAGTATAAATTTATATCAAAATTATACTTCCGTCCGTCCAAACACCATGGCTTTTGAACCAAACCAACTTTCATTTTTTTTTAACATTTCATTACCCTAATCATTGTGTTTGCAGGAACCTACGTAGAGACAAAATTAGGCTAAACCCATTATGAATAGGTTTATAATATGTTGGGAGAACGATCATCCATACATGTAAGTATAATTATTGGAGGGTAATTATACTGAATCTATAGATGTGGAATGATGATGGTCTTATTAATGGTGGATGCATAGTTGTAAAGGGTGTACTATTAGGTCTTAATTAAAGAAGATAAAAAGGTTGGGTACTTGCAGTGTGAAGGTTTGGTAACCTGGTCCCTACTAAGCAGATTTGCTTACAAAATATTTGAAAGCAAGGAAGTATAACGATAGATCGTGCTTCCTTTTCCCTCCCACTCGAATTTAAGATCACAGGGAGTTGAAGTTCCTTCTTGTTTGAGGGAAACAATTAAGTATAGTTCATTAGATTGATTCATTAGCTTTAGTTTATAGATTGAGATCTTGTAATGAGTGATCCGTCTAATGAGAAATTCCTTTTTAATATACCAAGCTGTTTTACGTACCCACATAATCATGAATCATTATCCTAATCCAAATGAACAAATCAATCAGGTAACACAAATTGGCAAAATCTCGTATACATGATCGATATAATTATGTACACTTTTATACAAAAAAAAGTTGTGAATTTTGATATTTCGATTAAGTGGTTTAACAGACTCGATACATGGATTGTTTCTGTTATGTGACAGAAACTATCACTCAAAATGAGTGATTCTTATATCCCGACTTTTAGCTGAGATTGTTTTATCTCAGTGTTTAGTTGATGTAGCACACACAATCATACATATCAAACGATGTTTCTTACAATGCATTAAATTCATCAATACATGTATTCACAACAATACATCTATTTAACAATCGTAACTTCAAAATGAAATATAACTTACAAAGTAGAAGAGAATCGACCTTGGATGTATCTGGAACCCACAACATTCAATGGAGTTGGGGCTATTTGAGCTATTTTTCTAGTGGTTTAGATGATAAGGTGATTAGGGGTGGTAAATGGTTAGTTAGTTGTCGGTATTAACCGATAACCAAATTGATAAAGGCTGTTAGTGGTTAATCGATAATCGGTAGTTTTTTATTGGTTCGATTTTGGTTAGTAGTATACAGCTTAGTGGATAAACGCTAACCGACTAATTGGTTAGTGATTAATCGATTATCGCCTACTAGTTAACTACATAGTTTTGGACTTTGGATAAGAGAAATTTTTTCAAGATTCAAAACCAACCAAAGTCACAATTCCAAACATCTCAATTCCTGCCTATTGCAACAACCATCCACCAAGAGTCTCAAATATGTTTAAGAGTTAGAACCCGAAAGTCATCCCTTTCTAACTCCTCTTGCAGTCGTTAGAACGAACCTCACACTCTAGTAATCTTTGTCTCTTTGATGTTTGTAAATGATGATGCTTTGGTGTTGCTTGTGTTTGATGTCTTGGTAGTTGGTACTTACTAATTGTAATATGTTTGATTATTTTTTATTTTATGCATTGGAATTTTGATTTAAACTACGGAATCACGATGAATGTTGTATTATATTGATATTATTTCTTACAATTATTAATTTATATTTATGATGTAGAAATGTAGATAAATTATTTGTATGATTATTCGTCTTTAATATTTAGTACTTTGTATTCTTGATCATTGTTATGCTTGTGGACTGAAATTGATGTTGAATGACACTTATTAAATTTAAAAGGATTGTTGATTTGTGTATTATAAGTTATCATTATTTCTATTTATTATATATTGTAAAATAAAATTGAAACTATTGATTTGATATTAGTTCGATTAGGTATGAACCATACTTGTTGGAATGTATTTTAGTGGTAATTGGTTAACAGTCAAAATAACCGCTAACCGAGCCGATAAAAGGTGGTTAATCGATAAGACTTATCGGTTCGATTATCGGTATGAGCTTTTTACTCAATTGTTAACCACATTATCAATTAATGATTAACCGAAACCGAACAGATTAGCATCCTAACTTGTGTTTCAAATCCCAGTCCCGTTTATTTTAAACTAGGATTCACAATGGGAGCGAGCCCCGCCCAATTAGCCAGACAAAAGCCCAGCCCGCCCAACTTTATAAAAAAAAAAAACAAAGAGTCCAGCGTGCATGACAAAGACGTACGGGTTGTGCATGCATTAATTATCGTTTTTGCAAATTGACACTTAATTAATCAATAGAAAACAAAATGCAAATCATCATCAATTATTCAACAGGACAAATTAGGGGTTCAGGAGGAAAATATTATGATTAATTTTCTTGGGGAGTTGAATTAATGAGAAAATTAGAATACGTTGATTAATAATTAAAATGTTTTAGGGTGGGGCTTTAGTGAAAGAGAGAAGAGGGATTAGGGATAGGAGGAAAGATTCAAGCAAAAGCCATCCTCCTAGGGATAAGGAAATTACCGAAATAATAATAGTCAAACAAATTGCGAAAAAAGAAAGGAAGGAATCTCTGCCTGTTTGCTTTGACTTTTGCTCCCACAACACCCCGTTTTGGTTAACCCGCCCAAACAAAGCATCCTTTTCTCAGAATTCGTGATCTCTGTCGACTGAGTTTTGTATCAGAGAACGATTCCCAGTTCGAGGATTCTCGGTTCCAACAACAAAAAAACCTAATTAAGGACCTAATCGTGAATTCAATATTTAGAGCGAGAAAGCTTATTCACGAATAAAATTCAGCAATCTACTGAAATCGAATTGGGTTTAGTGTTTCTCATGTGGATGTGGTCTATATTCGATCACCTATTAAATGTTACTAGGGCTACATACAACCCACTACGAGATCGGCCACTGAAACGATGAGAATCAAATAATTAAAAACTATTTTTTTCTAAACATATGTCGAATCATGCTAAGTTCGATTTTGATCATCGACAATGTAGAGTCGAATATTTGTTCGCTCTCTCTAATTATCTAGCATTTGATTTCTGATGGTTCAAATTTAGCTTGAATTTCGCAAATACATGCACTTGGGTATTCCAAACAGAAATTGTTAAATACATCAATCCAATCTCATGTAACATGCACAAGTAGGGGTGAGAAAAAGGTTAGAGAAATTGGTTATTCGGTTATAGATAAATAAAAATAGTATTGGTTGCTCCATTTTATGCGGCTAATATTGTTTGGCAAGATTTGCTTTAACAAAGTTCGTATCCCATCTTCACGTGTATCCCATCCTCATACATGTACGTATAGATACCGCGTAACATTTTTATATATATATATATATATATATATATATATATATATATATATATGGTGTAATTTTATTGTCATATTAAAATTACAAGGAAAAAAATATTTGTATATTATGTTCACCAAGTTTAATTAGTACGGGTACTTTTAGAAGAAAATCCAAAAGTAAATTTGTGTAGATCTGTCTCGAGATCGACAGTATCGTACTAATGAAACACGGTATCTCAGCAGTTGGTATGCAGAGTATAACATGACATTTTTGTCATCACATGTTGAAATATTGCCATAAAAATTAAACATGTTAATCATTGCTAAATTTCATGACTCATTAATTCAAATCATATGTACGGTAGATCACACTAGTTGAGCATACAAGCTAGATGATTTATGTTTACTAGTTAGGATAAGCATAACTCAACCAAAACTAAATACTTTATCAATTGAAAAACAAAGATAGAGACAAAAATTATCCTCGCCATAACCTCTTCGATGAAGTCACAAAGATAGAGACAAAGATAGAGATTTTGGCTTTAAACTCATTAAGCTTATGTACTTTATCGTTGATTTTACATGTCAAATTTTGTCTAAAATCTATCAGGTTGGAGAAATAGAAACTCAACAAAATATACTGTATAGATAGAAGGTTACGACAAATCTATATGAGAAATTCAGTTGACAACCTTAACAAAAGTTATTAATGAGATAACACAGAAATAGCGGTTGCTAAAATTTGAAACCAGAACCTCCTGAATCCAAACTAACGTCTCTATAATCTCCACCGTCCGTGATGAATCTTATGATAGTTATTTACATATGCTTATAAATTTTACTTTTGTATATAGTAGAGTTGTTTATCTAGTGAAAGGAAAAAACATCTAACAACATTTTTTTATTTATTTTCGTGCATAGATTGCGAATACATAGTTGTTAGCGGGTCGTTTGAATGCATTTTGGTTCTGTGGTATTTCGAATCAAAATGTTGCATTATATTGATATGTGGCATTTCATGTGGTATTTCATTTTGGAATGTGGTGATTCGGTAAATTGTCTTGTTTGGATAAAACATTCAAGAATTGTGTTATTTCACCACCTAGAGAAGTAATGTTGTGAAAAAAGAGGTCGAGAGATGATTTATTTGAAATAACTAGAGGGTGAGTAGGTCTTTCAAATAACTCACGATGAGTTATTTCAGTTGCCTCATGAACAAAATACTACATTCCATTTTAATTTTACCAAGCGAGTTATTTCGGCTGAAATACGACATAATCGTTTGAAATGAAAAGTAATTCGAAATGAATTATTTCAGCCAAAATACATCATCAAAATACTTCATCCAAACCACTCATAATAATTAACTGTACCACGATATTAATAATTTTTGATCCAACCACGATATTAATAATCGGATTCACATTTTCAAATATTTCCCAATTTTTTATTCTGCTTATCTGCAGCACAAAGAAAAAGCGGGACGTTAAAAGGGCCCGCCTCCGCAAGAGCCTTGCCCCTTGCCACGGTTTCCAGGAAATTTCCATCGCCTCCCTCTCTCTCTCTAACTCACGAGAACGATTAGAAAAGTCTCAAATTTTGTGTTCCGACCAAGAAACCAACATCTTCTTTTCAGAGAAAAAACCAAAGTCTCCAACTTGGTAATCCCTCAGTTGGTTTGATGATCATAATCCAACCAGACCATTCCTCCTCTTTCGAAACACCCACCAGTCTTCCCTTCCCCCTTTTCTCCCCTTTCCTCCTGCAACTGCAAAAGTCCCAAGCTTTTCCTTCTGGATTGGGCCAAACTGGGCTGCTCTCTAATTCTTCTGGGCTGCCGGGTACTGAAACCGTGAACTTCTGCTCCTCCCTCAAGGATAGGATTGGTGTCTAACGTCTGAAAGAAATCGTCAGAGCCCAGATGTAAGTAAGTCTAATCTGATTACAGTTCCATGGGGGGTTTCGTTTGTTACTTAAAACTAGTGTTTCACTCTTGCGAACTTCTACTTTACCCCCTTTGTTCTGCTCCAGTAGAAGTTTTGAGATCCAATTGGTTGCTTTCCACCCTTCTTTCTTGTTCTCTTCACTGCAGAAGGTTTGGAATTTGGATGAAATTGCACAGTTCTGATGAGGAAAGGGTCATCTGTGTATCTTCCCTTTGGGGGGACTTTTGCAGGAATTCTTGAATGGTGATTTGTCTATGAGGAAGACTGTTTGTTGAACGTAATTGGGACTTTCCATTTGAAGAAAAATTGCTGCTTCGGTTATGAACTATTCACAGGACAAGTTTGTTAGGTAAAAGTTTGATTCTTTTGCTTATTAGCAGTTTCTTATTAGGCTGGTAGATGTTTTGTGCCATTTGATGATGGATTATGATGATGGAATGTTCAGGTTTCAAGATTGGAGGTCAGAGAAAGTTTCGGATTCGGATTATTCGCCCCGGAATGGGTACCGTGGGAGAGTTAGCATGAAGATAAGCTCATTCTCTGATAAGTTCAGGAGAAGATTGGAGTCTGGTTCAGAGAGCATCAGTAGGATTAGGCAGACCTTGAAATCATACTCCTTCAACAATGGTAGTTCCTCCGATGGCTCTTCTAGTTCTAGAAAGAAGATCCTTGATCCACAGGGAGCTTTCCTACAGAAATGGAACAAGATATTCGTGCTGTCATGTTTCCTTGCTATCTCCCTGGACCCTTTGTTCTTCTATGTCCCGGTGATCGACAATGATAAGCACTGCCTTAAATTGGACAACAAGATGCAGATAACAGCCAGCGTGTTGCGTTCTTTCACGGATATATTCTACATACTTCACATTGTCTTCCAGTTTCATACCGGCTTCATTGCGCCTTCCTCCCGGGTTTTTGGAAGAGGTGTTTTGGTTGAGGACAGTTGGGCCATCGCGAAGAGGTATATGCTTTCGTACTTCTTGATCGACGTTCTTGCCTTGCTGCCACTGCCACAGGTGAGTAGAAAGAGAAGCTTCTTCCAACTTGAACATGTGTTCCCTTTCTGTAATTCATGTATTTGAATGTATGTTGCTCAAATTGTGTTTGCTTCTTTCTTGTGTTCCAGATGGTGATCCTCATAATCACTCCCAGGCTGCAAGGATCGAGAACTCTTAATACGAAAAACTTGTTGAAGTTTGTTGTAATCCTCCAGTATCTTCCGAGGATCATGCGGATTTATCCGTTGTACAAGGAAGTTACTAGAACCTCTGGCATACTCACTGAAACTGCGTGGGCTGGAGCTGCGTTTAACCTCTTCCTTTACATGCTTGCTAGCCATGTAAGCTCCAGTGATGAATTTATAAACTTGCAATTTTGCTAGGTTCCATGAAGCTTTTTTTGGTCTGACCTACTGTGTTTATTTATTAGGTACTTGGAGCATTTTGGTACTTATTCTCCGTGGAAAGACTAACAGTTTGCTGGAAGAGAGCTTGTAACACGAGCTCGTGCCGGGATACGCTGTACTGTGATGGTCCTCTAGGCAATCTGGCATTCTTGAACACCTCTTGTCCTGTCAATCCTGAGAATGCAGATGTGTTCAATTTCGGAATATTCCTTGACGCGCTCCAGTCTGGTGTTGTGTCTTCTCATGACTTCCCCAAGAAGTTCTTCTACTGTTTCTGGTGGGGGCTTCGCAATCTCAGGTAAGCAAACTATCGGAGTCATTGGACATATTTCATTTCACCCTACAGCCTGCGAAATGAACTCATGGCATGTGGTTTGTCAATTGGCAGTTCTCTTGGTCAGAACCTTGCGACAAGTACATTTGTGTGGGAAATTTGTTTCTCGGTTGCGATTTCAATCTTTGGGCTGGTGCTGTTTTCCTTCCTCATTGGGAATATGCAGGTTGGTAATAAAACTCGATTCATTGCTACCTAAATGTCCGCAGTTCTCTTACTGGTTTCTTATGGATTAGAATTGCCATTGCCATGTGCGTGAAACAGACTTACTTGCAATCTACGACAACTAGATTGGAGGAAATGAGAGTGAAGAGGCGGGACGCTGAGCAATGGATGTCCCATCGTATGCTCCCGGACAATTTGCGGGAGCGAATCAGGCGACACGAGCAGTACAAGTGGCAAGAAACCAGAGGAGTCGACGAAGAGAACCTCGTCCACACTCTTCCAAAGGACATTAGAAGGGACATAAAGCGCCATCTCTGCTTGGCACTCCTCATGAGAGTAAGTTCTTACTTTTGTAAATTCAAGAAGGTCGCTGTCTTCACATTCTGATCATCATTTCGCTTTGTGGAATTTGTGTAGGTGCCAATGTTCGAGAAGATGGACGACCAGCTTCTCGATGCATTGTGCGACCGCCTCAAGCCAGCACTCTACACGGAGGAGAGCTACATTGTCCGTGAGGGAGACCCCGTCGACGAGATGCTATTCATCATGAGGGGTAAACTCCTCACCATGACAACAAATGGCGGAAGGACGGGCTTCTTCAACTCGGAGTACCTCAAAGCTGGTGATTTCTGTGGCGAGGAGCTTCTAACGTGGGCCCTCGACCCACACTCCTCGTCGAACCTACCCATCTCCACAAGAACCGTTCGTACCATCACGGAGGTTGAAGCTTTTGCACTAACGGCGGAAGACCTAAAGTTTGTGGCCTCGCAGTTCCGTCGCCTGCACAGCAAGCAGCTTCGCCACACGTTCAGGTTCTACTCACAGCAGTGGAGGACGTGGGCGGCCTGCTTCATACAAGCGGCATGGCGAAGGTACAGCAAGAAGAAGCTCGAGGAGGCACTGCGGCAGGAAGAGGACAGGTTGCAGGATGCGCTGGCCAAGGCCGGTGGGAACTCGCCTAGCCTCGGCGCTACCATCTACGCCTCCAGATTTGCTGCCAATGCTCTGAGGCTGCTGAGACGAAACTCGACTCGTAAGGCGAGGATCTCCGAGAGGCTGCCGCCCATGATGCTGCAGAAGCCGGCGGAGCCTGATTTTACTGCTGATGAACGGTAGCTTGGGGAAAGAGTAAGTAGTTTGTTGGAATTTTTTTTTTGGTTGTGGGGTAGTGTTCATTCAATCAACCAGACAAGTATGAGAGATGAAGGGAAAGTGCAGGATAAAAGATGTGATTTTTGAGTCCCTTTATAAGTTATCTTCGGTTGATTCTTTCTCAAATCCTGTAACCTGTACAATATTAAATGTATATGAGAAATTTTCAAATAGGGTTTGTTTCTTTGTTCTTGAGTTTATATCTGATCAAGCCTTTCGAAGTTTCAGCCTTTCTTCAACAACGAGTCTGCTGCCATTATAGGATACAGAGTGTTGTTAGCTCTACTCTTGCAGACCATATATCAAGTTGACTACAACATTAGGAGTCAACGACCCATCTAATAGAAACATTCAGTACTCCCCCAAGATTGAGGTTTTTTCTTCTCCCTTCCCTTTCTAACTTCTGGGTTCTTGCAAGAGGTTTCAATCAATCATCAATTTGAGAGCTTTTCGATAAATGCAGGATTTTTCATTCCGTGGGAAAGGCTGGTTCAAAGTTGGGACTTCCCTTTTCTTGGCCATGGCAGGGGTTGCTCTGTTTCTGTACATCCCTTTAGTCAAGAGCCGCCATGAATGGCGTTATAAGGTTCGGCGCCGACGCTGCTGCGTTCCGTCGCCGATGCTTTCCACCTGATTCGAATCTTCTTCCAGTTAACTGGCTTCCCGGCGCCTTCCTCTAGAGTTTTCGGGCGAGGTGAACAGGTGGTGGACGCCATGGCGATAGCGACAATGGCCTTCGTTTTCCTCGTTGACCTTGTCTCCGTCCTCCAGCAGCCTCAAGGTCTTATATTTCAATTTTTCTAATTTCCCAACTTGCCAAAGTATCCATGGTCTCTCCGTTGAGCTAAAAACCACAAACCGAACTTTCATCCCTAGTTTCATCCTTCCTTCAACAACCAGTCCGCCGCCTTTCTAGAATACAGAGTGTTTGTTAATTAGCTCTATTCTTAGAAATCCAAATTACCAAGTTGGCGTCAACAGTAGGAGTCAACGACCCATGTAATAAAATCATTCATCACACACTAAAGAACACTCTGCCTGCTACGCTTTTGCTCCTCAGTCCTCCCTTTCTCTGGAGCAAACTACTACATTTCCTTCCTTCCAGCTTCGCAGAAATCCCCCCCAAGAATGTGAGTTTTCCTTCTCTTTTACTTTCTTACTTCTGGGTTCGGTAAAGAGAATCCAATCAATCGTCAATTTGGGATCTTTTTGATAAATGCAGGATTTTGGATCCGCATGCAAGTTTGGTTCTCAAGGGATACAGGGCCTTCTCGGCCATGGCAGGGGTTGCTCTGTTTCTGGATCCCCTGTTTCTCTACATCCCTGGAATCAACAGCAGACGCGAATGTGCCATGAGTTTCGACGGAAACCTGCTGATTACTGCTGCGGTGCTGCGTTCCGTCGCCGATGCTCTCCACCTGATTCCACTCTTCTTCCAGTTTCGAACCGCGTTCCCGGGGCCTTACTCGAGAGAGTTCGGGAGCGGCAGGATGGTGGTGGACACGTCGGCGATCGCGAGTAGATACCTGTTTTCGTTTTTCCTCGTCGATTTGCTCTCGGTCCTACCGCTGCCTCAGGTATCTGACTCTTCTCTTAATCTGTTTTCGTTATATCTATAATTGAATCTCTCTCAACAACTCGAATTATTGGGATTAAGTGGTTAATTGGATGATTAACTACATCTTATTACAAAGGTTAAGTAATAATTAGACTCGCCACTCCAATTATAAATGGAGATGACCATGGTGGGGCTGGGCTCTGCAGGTGATCGTCGTTGTAGCTTGGATTTCTGGGAAGAACAGAGGATCCAGAATGTTGACCGCCATTGCCATCTTGCAACCCGTGATAGCTTCTCAGTTCTTGCCTAGACTATTCAGATTCTATCAATTCATTCAGGAAGTGAGAAGTACTACTACCCTTGCTGTGAAAAAAGCTGCATCTGCCAGGATCGCGATTACCATCTTTCTTTACATCAATGCTGCCCATGTGAGATTACTATGTTTTCCACCAAGATTAATAACCACCAGTACCGTGAGGTTGATTGTGGAATGGGGATGTTTGAGTCTTGCTGTTTTTCCTTGATGATAGGTTGTGGGAGCATTCTGGTACTCCTTGGCCATCCGCCGAGAAATGGGTTGCTGGCGAGCAGCCTGTGGTAATCGCGCCGGATGCGATTACAACACAATGCTGACTTGTGGGAATGATGGATGGATGAATTACACGTCTTTTCTTAATCAGAGTTGCCCGAAAGGAGGAGGATCGGATTTCAATTATGGGATGTATGCTGATGCTATTAGCTCTGGGGTGCTGGAGTCGACAGATTTCGGCAACAAGTTGCTATACAGTTTCTGGTGGGCTCTCCAAAGTCTGAGGTCAGTCAACTTGGCAGTGAACTAGGTTTCAAATCTCACCCCTTTGATCAAATAATCTCCTCAGGTCGTAGCTCGAATCTTTAGATAATCAATGTTGGACGCAAGAAATCAAGTCGATGCGAAGTCTTAGACATACCTCTTTGTTTGATGTTGTGGTGGCAGCACTTTGGGACAGAACATTAAGCCCAGCAACAATAAGTTGGAGATATGTTTTGCACTATGCATCTTTGTTGTTGGGTTGTTGTTATTTTCGCTAGTCATCGGTATCATCCAGGTAAAAGTGATCGTGCGGTGCAAGATCGTTTTACATTCTCCATTGCTGATTTCGTCGTGAAAATCTCTCTAACAAGGAGGAGAAAGCTTCTACCTGTGCAGACAAGGATGCTAGCATCAACCATTAGAATGGAAGAGATGAGAATGAAATGGGAAGGTGTGGAGAGATGGATGGGTTCCCATTATATCCCGGAGGACTTAAAGAGGCGGCTAAAGCGACATGAAGAGTTCAGATGGCAGAGGGATCAAGGTGTTGACATCCACAATGTGCTACAGAGTCTGCCCAGAGACCTGAGGAGGGACATCACTCGTCATCTCTGGTTGGATCTTCTCAGGAGTGTAAGTTTCCCTCCCCGCCCCATTCCCTTCCTCGTCATGTCAGGTGATTTCGATTGTATTCTGATCCTCCTTTTGTGCTTTGTTTGGTTGTTTCTACAAAATTTCAGGTGCCAATATTCTCAACGATGGACGATGAGCAACTAGATGCAATGTGTGAGCGCGTTAAGCCAGCACTGTACACGGGAGGAAGCTACATTGTTCGCGAGGGAGATCGAGTCAACGAGATGCTGTTCATCAAGAGGGGTGTAATACAAACTACAGGCACATATGGCGGGAGCTCTGTCTTCTTCAGCGCGGAGCACCTCAAGGCTGGTGAGTTCTGCTGCGACGAACTTCTCAGTTGGGCTCTGGGACCCTACTCTTCGTTATCAGACCTTCCAATCTCAATCACAACCGTTCAAACCGTCACGCATGTGGAGGCTTTCGCGCTTACAGCTGACGACTTGAAGTTTGTGGCTACACGGTTCCGTTGGGTTCGCAACAAGAAGCTCCGCCACAGGTTCAGGTTCTACTCACACCAGTGGACGACTTGGGCCGCTTGTTTCATACAAGCTGCTTGGCGGAGGTTCAGAAAGAATAAACTAGAGATGGCGCAGAGGCGGGAAGAGGACAGGTTGGGAGATGCATTGGCTGCCGAGTCGACACCCCTTGGCGCCACCATATACGCCTCGAGGTTTGCTGCCAATGCACTACGGCTTCTAAGCCGCAAGTCGACTGGTAAGGGTACAGTGCCTCTACCGTCTGTGTCAGCGAAAAAGCCAGCAGAGCCAGATTTTAGTGACGATGAAGTTCAGTCAAGTGAGGAAATATGATAGATCAAATGTGATTCCGTGTCTCTGAAGTAATGATTTTAATTGTTGTAAACTGTATCAAGATTAATGTAGAAATGGGAAGAAAGAAAATTTGGGACTGGCTTTTGTTTAGTTCATCTAGTGCCTTGACACAGCATCCGTTGTCATCGCCCAAAGTAAATTTCCTCTGTTGGTTCAACAACCAAACCAACCACAATAAGTCTAACCTTATAAGAGCAGCAAAGAGTTTGCAACCAGGAACAAGATTCTCAAGCAATTAGAAAGAAGATAAGAGATTTATGTGCTACTTCAAAATGTGTTACATAAGGAAAGCACGCACACCACTGCTCCCCTAATCCTAATAGAGGAATAGGGTCGACTTTATCATGTTTCACTAGTTCATATACAACCCCAGCAGAGAGAGTCAGTCGCAGACTCGCAGAGAAGAGAGAAAACAAGCACAAAAAGAAAAAAAAAAGAAGAATACGGAGTAAATTCTCATAACTCACAAGCATAAGTTCAATACCTTCAAGTGCTGTCACTAAATCTCGCAGCTGCGATAAACCAGTACTGAGGGACTTATTGCTAGCAGCTTCTCTGAACCAGCCATAGCTTCCATCGTAGATAGCTCGCAATTCCTCGTACCTTGGAATCGGAGTAGGCCAGAAATGGACCCTAGGCTGGAACAGTGTCCACCGAGGTATAGTTTGTCTTACTTCAGAGAAGAATTCTAGATGTCCCTTCCTCAAGTCGCAGGACAGAACCGCATGTTTGAAGAGTAGAAGAGGGGTAGTGCTCAAAGAAGACAATTTCTGGCTTCTCCGGATGCAAGGTCGAGGACTCTCAAGTGCTCGGGCTCATAGTTACAACCCGGAGTCTCCACAAGCCCTTCACATTGTTTCTTCCAAGATTCACGGCCTTCTTCCAGTCTCCAAATGCTCACACGAGTAGGTATAGTCGCCCCTTCTAGTGCAATTATGTGCAGAGCGCCTTGTGAGACCGAGATATCTCCCCTCGGCTTGTCATAGAACTCACCAATATAAGTGGGAGTTAGATCGAGGGGGAAAATATTCAGGGCAACAAGAGTAGTACCAAAGTAGGCATCTGCATAAAACCAAAGCAACTCCCCGTTCAACGAAATCACATTATGGTCTGGGAGTTTGCGGCAGCCATGAAAAGCACGAGCCTTGTTAGTCCATTTCCCAGACTCCGAGCAAAACACGTCCAATTTGATAGAGGTCTTATGTTGATAGATACACACCACTCGAAACCGATACTCGGAGTAAACATATGCCGGTTCGCCATCTCCTAGATCAAGATTACTAGAAATGCAGGGTTCACAAACTAACCTTGAAACCGGCGCTTCATAACCCTCTTCTTTTGCAGGCGCTACGGGGAGCGCCATCCACTGCTTCGTAAACTGATTGCAGACCACGTACGTCCTGCCAAGTTCATGGTTATCGTTATCAAAATCCCCATACCCGCACAAGAACAGATCCTTGAAGCAATCCAAGACTCGGAAACCGAGTTGAGCTGTAATCGGCATGGGCGGCATAAAGCTCGTCAGGTCGCTCGCGTCGTTGGAGTGGATAAGCAGAGGTCGCGGTTCCTTCATGCTCCCTTGTTGGTGGGAAATGAAGCTGCGATTGAAGGAGTGATGGGAGATTAGGGAACTCCAACGCCTGCAGACCAGTTTGCAGCTGCAGGCGGATCTAGGGTTCGGGAGGCGAATCAGAATCTCTACCAGGAGATCGTCTCCGAGCTTGCGGATCATGGAAGGAGGAGGGTTCGCTTCTGATCGGATTGGACGATTCAGTTTTGTGCGGTCCGCCATGGCGGACGGTAGGCAAATGATCGGATTGGACGAGTACCGCCCGTTGAGCTGGGGACGACTGGACGAGTACAATTCCCGCCACCAATATTGGTTACAAATTTACTCGAAGTGACACCCCTGAAAAATTACAAGTTTGGTCACTTACATTTAGTTTACTAACAAAACGGTCATTCGTATTTGATCTTTAGCAAAATGGTGCCTTACATTTGTAAGTAAATAAATCGACTCCACACATTTTCGATGATAATAATAAATAATTAGACACATCAACATTGGCATGTCACTTGAACCGATTTAGTAACTTTCTAGCAAATCGCCACGAATGACGAAACTAGTCAAATTCGATTTGTTTGGGGAAGATTCGATCTCAGAGCAAACAAATATCATAAATATTGATATAATAGATTAGAGACTCCATCGTTTAGTTCTTCCATGATTTCAATTCCACCATCCCCTATACGGCTATACCTAATCCATTAAGTGTAGGGAAGTTTCGAAAGCACCATAAACTCGTATAAAACAATGAACGAAGCGACACCTTAACGACATTTTCCAATTTCGACAATGAAAAATCAAATACACCATGCTGGAAATATTAATGACAATCCAAGATATTACAATCAATCATTAATATAAATAAGTGTATACTTCGTGAGAGTATAGTTATTATTACACTCGTCAAATACTAATAATAACACCGTGGGACTTGCACGAGCACGATAAGACACGACACGACGGCAGGTGCATCACATTCGCTGCCCTCTGACAAGGAAAGGAGCTGGGGCGCCTCGAAGCAGGCTCACCTCCCTTTTCAAGAAGTTGGGCAGTGCAAAGGCAGCTCTGTGCATCTGTTTTCCCAAACAAAAACTTAAATCTTTAGCACTTCTACATATGACTATCTGTATGTACTTACGCAACAGGGTAGGAAACATGATCAAACATCAGCAGGTAGCTTACCTCGGAGTTATAGAACCTAAGTTCCCTCTTGTGTTTCCCTGCTCCTTCCACCTCCTCAATTGGGTTGACAGGGTTCAAGAAATCCACAGCAGGGCCTTCCGTGGAGCACAACAAGAATCCAATCACCCCACTGCAGTTTCCAGATTCGAGAGCAGCAGCAACAATCAAAACTAAAGCATTTTCCTAGTCCAAGAATACTAGGCAAAAAAGAAAAATGCACAATCTTGTGTCCTGGCATTTACCTCGGGTACGTTGGCACGCTAGCCCAGGCGTAGTGAACAGAGCCCTTGAAAGTCTCACGACAGATGGAGATCATGTCCTCGATGAGATGCGTGTGGAGCCACATGCTCTCGGCCATGTTGCAGAGGACTCCACCGGGCCTCAGTGCTCTTGCTATGGTCTCAAAGAATGGCTTCTCGACGAGCTCTTGGGCAGGGCCTGATATGGGAAATAGAACGATTGAGCGAAACTGACATCATGCAGTGATTCATCAAACAAAAACTAGCAGCGAATAATATTCTAGCACCTATTGTATGGTAAATGTACATTTCTTGACTGTTAGGGACTTGGTATTACCAGAATTGCTGAGTTCAAATACTATAGAGCACACATACCTACAGGGTCCGAAGAATCAACAATTATTGCATCATACTTCCCTTTAGCAGTATGCTGGAGGAACTCCACGGCTGTTTTAAGATCAAAGAGGTAATATTATCAGTTGATACCGAGTGTCCTGCATTGAAATGACCAAAGCCAATGTCTACCAAAATGGGGGGACGTTAGAGAGCATACCATCACCGACGTGAAGGTGAACACGAGGGTCCTCAAATCCAATGGATAATTCAGGGAAGAACTTCTTACTTACCTAGAATATCAGCAAGACTGTATTATGAGAAAAAATAACTGCAGGCAAGTCTAAAGACACATAAACAAGGAACGGGCTTACATCTATGACCATCTTATCTATTTCACATATGTCGATGGTCTCCACTGATGTGTGACGAGAGATTTCCCTGAGGACACCTCCATCGCCACCGCCAACTACAAGGACCTACGATGATATTCTGATTAATCAGGACAAACAATCTGCAAAGGGAAGTTTAACTGTGAAGCTCCAAATGAAAACTCACAGCTTTTGGGGATGGAATTGAGCAGAGTGGGAGATGAGCTATCATTTCCTGGTATGCACATTCGTCTTTCTCGGTCAACTGAACGATGCCATCGAGTACAAGAACTTTTCCATAGGATGATGACTGTCATACGATAGGGGTTGAGATAATGAGAAACTCTCATTAAGAGACATTAGTGAAACAACCAAAAGTATATGCAGAGAACTTAAGGATGGCAACCTGGAAGACCAAAACCTCCTGGTAGTCTGACTTCCCCTCATACAGAATTTCCTCCACTTCCAGTGAGTGTGCTTCTCCTGCATACATTGAGAAACTGATCAATCGACTAAAGAGGATGGGAAAACAAACTCATCAGAAACAAGAGATGCTGTAAACGGCGAGGCAACTAATGACAAATAAATTGGTTGCTTCCTTAGATATATACAAGACCAAATTCCTCGACTACGGTACAGGAGAATAACACAAATGTCCTTGTTTGAAGGAGCATACCATCTCTAAGCTACTGTTAGGGCTGCGAAAGGATTACAAGGCAAGACCCAAGAGAGCTTTATAATGAAGTTTGCACATATACATCGTGCCATATGCTGAAACCAACCTTTAATATTAGGGATCATCACAACTTAAAACACAATACAAAAAAACATCTGGAACTTGAAAACCAATTCATGCCAATAACTCAAGTTATTGTGAGGGGCTCAAAACTGAATCTTAAACCTTCCATTGAAAAATCAGTTCAAGGTCCTACCTACAAAAATCAGAAGAGACCAAGCTCTCATACAAACAGCAAGTGATATGGCAACTCTGGAATCACTTACCAGGCCACATAGGGTTGTTAAAGTAAACAACCTTTCTCCCATCTTTGCCTGTGAACAAAATGACAACACAAGGAAAGCTATGAGTAACCATTTTCACCAAATCAACCAGCTGAGCAGAAGGAGGAGGAGGAAGAAGAAGAAATCAAAGGATATTAACCAGAGCAGGATTGAGATTCTGAGAACCACCCAGAAACAACAGTAGAGTGGCATTTCGCATCAAGCTCAGCAGCTGCTGAAGAAGCCCTGGCCTTTAGACAGCAAGCAGGGACAGTAGTAATGGGTTTCTGTGAACCATTATGTCCATTACTCTCCTTCCCATCCATAATCTTCTGGCATCCCAAATCTCTTCCTGCGTCTCCCTCCATAGATTATCTTCTTCTTATCCGGCTCCAGCCTCTGCATAAACAAACCCTCAATCAATCACATTTGGGATTCACCCAAAACCAACCAAAAACCTCAAAACTTGCGGGAAAATGAGTCCCAACTCTCGTAGCTCCACGGCAAATAGTTGGTCACCCACCAATCAAACCATTAACGTGCATTCAATTAGAAGCCCAAAAAACACAAACCCCCACTTTTTTGCAATGATCATAGAAACATCATATACTAATCACACAGCTCTGCATGCCAAAAGTTTCAGCTCAGTCAAGTACAGCAATCAACGTAGCCCATTATCACCATTTTTCCAAACAACAAAACCAAAAAACGAAGGGAGGGAACTTTTCACGGCGTCTCAAGTCTCATCAAGTACAGACTGAGATAAAAACTTGGAACCCTCTCTTACGAAAAAGGAAGGGAACCCCAATCTTTTTTTTTTCCAGGAAACAAACGGAAACAGGCGCCTAACTGGGTAATTTACCGGAAAAATGGCGCGACGAAGAGAAAAAAATTCAGAGCTCCCAATAAAAACCCTCGCTCTCGCCGGTTTCAGCCAAAGATTGTTGGTTGAGAAAAAAAAAAGAGAAGCCAGTAGAAAAAACTCAGGAAGGGGGAGGAAACCGAAACCAATACGCAGCAAGTTCAAACAAATAATTAAATAATCGGAGCGTGAGGCGGAAATTACAGTTAAGTGCACGCAAGAAGCCAAAAATAACAGGGGGGGGAAAAAAAACTAATGTAGCAAATGGGAGAGAAAATAAAGAAAAAAGGGTTAGTTCTCGAGGCTTGCCCGGCGGGAAATGTGTGAAGAGTGGAAGAAGATTTAGCGATGTAAGGAATGCCGGCCGGGAAACGTCCGACGGCGGCGGTAGTGTTACTCAGTCGGCGGCGGCGGCGGAGGAGCGGTTACTTTGCTGGGTTTTTGGGATTTCTATTGTCTTTAGCTTTTATAAACCCGTGGCGTTGGTTTTATGGTAATGCAAATCTATTCCCTTTTTATAGTGCGCTGATAAGCTAAGTTCTGGTTCTGATTATGTTCGGGAAATTAATTGTTTAGTGTAGCGATGAGGCTTAAACTAAAAGGGAACAAGAAAATACTTTATTATAATGGAGTGATTAATTAGTTCAATTAATTGATCTTGGTTTAAAGTTTGATCATCAACCTAAGGTGGATGCTTAGCTCATTTTGGTTTCTTTTTTTCTTTATATTCTAGTTCCTAAAATATTAAGTGGCAAATAAGAAAATAGGACACAAGAAAGTGACATAGGTAGATTAAGTAGTGTTATCTAAAACTACAGTGGCAAAATGTATGCCACATAAATATATTTTCCCCCCTACATTTTGGAAAATTCATCAAACACGTAACGTTCCGATTCTCGTAAAATCTCTTTAGATGGGCTTATCAATTTGTCGATGTGAAAGAGTAACATGTTGATATGACTTGAATCGGATTATCTGCCGTCGATTGGAATTCACGAGGTCTCGCTGACTTATAATCTCCTCAAGTATAGTTAAACTGAATATTTCCTCACCATAGACTAACTAACAAGCATTGTGTTAGTAAACCACGTAAAAATGTATGTGTCTTTACTCTTTCGCATAATCCCGATTTGTTCTTAGCATAACTTATACAAATACTCCAACTCATAGTCTTCTCATCTTTAATCTTCATATATCTCAATTCTATCTACCACTATGGAGTTCCACCCCACAAAACTAAAATGGACATCCAATCAAACGCCTTTTTTGTAAACTGGATACCTAGTTATTTGGCAATTAAATCTCACATTTTATTGTTCTTTCTGGTGATAAAAATTTTTTTACACGCAGATGACAATTGTGAAGATGTTTGACTATGGACCAGTACTTAATTCGTGCCTAATTTCCAATTAATAAAATAACAGCGAGTGAAGGGCTAAACGTCCAAATTGACCTTTTCCTCACGTATAGTATTCCTTCCAAACTCAACCTAATGTTTCTTTCAATTTAGTATTGGGATTCTATAAAATAATTTTTTTTTTGGTAGAAGAAATAAAAAAATATTTAGTTTTGGGGTTTGGGGCATCATTAATGATAAAATTTAAATAAAGTAAGGGACTAAAGCGAACTTTATTCGTCAATTTCCTTTTCCATAACTTGGCCAAATTGATTTTATAAAATTACAATGTACATACACGTATCCCCAGTTTGGTGCCTGCATGAGGGTTATAGGTGTAATTTTGCTTATATTTATTTTTGTGGAATACTTGCTCTAATAATGGTGTATTCTTCTTCGCACACAAAGGTGCAATCTGATTCGATTTCAAGGAATTTCTTTTTTTTTTTCCGGGGAGAAATTAGGATTTATTTAGGTTGGTGATAGTTTGGTTGAAATAGTTAATATTGTTTTTCTAATTTTCTGCACAAACATTACATGCATTGTTTGCTTGATGTGACACAAACTATCGGAAACTTCATTTTCAATCGAGCTTGTAATTCGTAATATTTCATCCAGAAAAAATAAAGGGGTACTAGCTAGCAGTATGTCACTTTATCTATTAGCATCGTGAATTAACAAGTGTGGTCCTTTGTGTTTGTTAAAATTAGGAATGGCAAGGAAGTAGATTGTTGGGTAATTTGCTTTAATTGTTATAAATTATAATCTATATGGGTATTGGGTCGAATTCATATAAACGTTTAGTGGTTTTGGGTTTGGTTTCGAGTTACGTTTAATTTGAGTGAACTTATTTAGCTCCTATTCAAATGGGTCTATTTGAACTCCGATATTCGGGATGCATCTGACTAATTGTTGTCAACCCAATTAGACCTCTAAAATTGGAGATAAAAAATTGCTCTAGAATCAGATATCCATTTCCTTTTAGATATTCAATACTACGCGAGTCCAATTTAAACCCAAACTAACAAACTGAGTATAAATTCGACCCAAAATTAAAATGACTCATACACAATTAATAAGTTGGATTTGAGTAATATCCAATATGTTAGATTTTTTCCACGTAGCATAGTATAGCCTCTTCGTCTACCGCGACTGTAACTTTATCCAAATACAGGAACTAGGAATCCCAGCGTGCACCACGAACATCATATAATACCCCGGCGGCGCGATCTCCGCCGTCGACGGCCCAACAACCGTCACGGTATACATATCCGACGCCTTCTGTTTCACGTCGACAATCCTCAACACGACCATCCTCTGATTCATGGCGAAGGAATGAGTCGTGAAGGACGGCGCCACGATCCTGACCGACACCGCGCTCCGAGTCAAGTACCGAGTCACGCAGAAACTCACCCGGATCTCCTCCCCGTATCCCCTCACCGCCGCCGCCCTCACGCCAACGATCCTTGGCCGCATGGGATCGTACGCCGGCGAAAGGTACGGCGGCGAGAACGCGTCCAATTTCAGCTCCGTCGGGTACAGGACGCCGGTGAAGTTGTAGAAAACGTGAGGATTGCTCCCTCCGACGAGGATTCGGCCGTCTCCGAGAAGAATCGCCGACGAATGGTACATCCGCGCGGTCGGAGACGCCGCCATGACGGAGAATCGCCAGATCTGGGGGGCAGAGGGGCGGTAAATCACAGGGGCGGTCACCGGCTCGCGGCCGTTCTCCCAACCGGCGGTTCCTCTGCCAGCGCCGTTGATTACGATCACGTCGCCGGTCGGGAGGAGCAGCATGTCTCCCATCACCCGCTCCAATGGCATGGTCTCCATCTCCCAATTAGGGTTCCGATCGGACACTCTGAGCCTGCCGCAAGATGAAATTGCTCTCGCGAATTCCCCCGCCCGGGCCGATCGAACCGCTCCTTGCGGAGCGCCGCCGCAGACCATGACTTCGACGACCTCGATTGAGCTCGGCGCCGTCGCGTTCTCCACCAGCGGGAGGAGAACGGAGGATCCGGAGCTCGGGTAGTTCCGGGGATCGCCTCCGGGAATCTCTGGGAACTCTGTAAGTACTCTGTTTCCGTCGTAGTCAAACAGAATCGACCTGGTGTTGGAGAAGATGAACAGATTCCCGTCGGGGAGGAGGTGGACGAACGGATAAAGATTGTTCTCGTTGCGGCCATCTCTCGTTTCCCTCAAGAAATCGAGCCAGTAGAGCTTCGAATCGCTAGGGTAGAATTCGTAATTGTACTGCCTCCGGCCACCGACGATGATCACTCTGCCGTCCGGTAAAATCTGGTTCGTGGCGTACCATCGCCTTCGATTCAAATAATCGGGGTACTCCACCCAGTCGTTGTCGTCCTCGTCGCCGTCCAGATAGCTCAGTAGGCCAGAGCGTGGGGTGAACATACGAACGACGTGGTCGCCGTCGTGGAAGCCGCCCGTCTGCAGCAGAGTGCCGTTGGGGAGGACCGCTCCGGAGGAGCACCAGGTGTCGGTTTGGATCGTGAGGGGTCGAATTTTGTTGGTGGTGACATCGTAGAGGACGGAGTGAGCGGTGCAGTCGATCTGGAGTTGGGTGTCGTCCGGGTCGAACCGACACCGACCGTCCGAGAATGTGAGGTTGGACCGGCCCGAATCGGTCCGGTCGAACATAACCACCTTGTTGTTGTGGAGGAGTTGCATGTGCATTGGCGAGATGCCCAAATTTGACTGGAGGAGCCGCCACTGGCCCTGGCTTGCCGGGGAAGGTGGATTGGTCCGACCGGGTTGGGATTTGGTGAGGAGAGGATGAAAGAGGAGGAGAAGGGATAGTGAGGTGAGAGTGATAATGGTGGTGGTCATTTTTTTTTTAGTGGTTTAATTTCTAAGAGGTAAGATTTGGTATGGTGAATAGTGTGGGTAGATGGGAGTTTACCCATGATTGGTATTTAAGTGGTGAATCTTTGTGAAGATGATGGAGACAAATGATGAGGGACAATGATCTTGAGATGAAGAATGGGAGGCTAATGTGTTGGAGGGCAAATGATCTTGGGGTGAAGTATGAGAGGCTAATGTGTTGGAGAAGTAAGAGGAAAAATGTTTCTTGAGTGATCAAAATGTGATTCCAAAATGGCCCTATGATGTATCGATAAGGGCAAGTTCTAGCAAATAGGCGACTCTAGTGAATTTATGGCATATCAAATTAGTATGTCTATACACGAACTTTGTTTAGTAATTTTCGGCGGTCTAGTAATAAGATACATATGAATTATAATAATTTTGTATAAGATCCTTTTTTAGTAAAAATTCTCATTATTTAGTTGGATGTATCAGGAAGATATACAAATTATATGGCGCAAAATTGAAAGATATGTTTCGGTTCTCTTTCTCTATATAATGAAGAACTAAATAATGAACTCCAGAATTCTGTTGGCCACTTAAAATAGGAATTTGTATATCTCTGCTCTCATTTCTCAACTACTAGAAAATAATGGACTCTTGTTAGGAATTTTAGAGTTCATTCCTAAAATAATTCACCTGAGAAATCTAGTAGATTACCCTATTGTTGTGGATAGGCAAAACTTGACATGACAATGTGAGTTGAGTTGAATATATACAATGGGATGGACTTCGGTTTGTTGGGTGGGTGTAAGTCTTCCATTTAGGTTACCCTTTTTAGGTATTTTATATTTAGGTTATCATTGAGTCTTAGTTAATCTCTTTATAACATTTTTTTATATATAATCCATATCAGTTATTCTCAATTTGGCAATCAGCTATAGTATGATTAAATTAATTAATTTATCTTACAAAAAAAATAAATTCATTTACCATCATCATTCTGTGGCTAGAGTATCGTTATCGGGGTTCGAGAAGGTGGTGTTTGACAAGATTCAGGAGGGGCAATAGACAAATGTCCTTGGAGTGCTCGATGAGATTTTGAGCCTTCGTGGAGTGTTTATGCGGTTTTGTGTTTGTTTCATTGGTTGTAGTAGTAGTAAGGTTGGTCATTTGGTAGCAAACAACACCCTTTCATTATACCCTATTTCGGTAGGATTTGATTTTCATTCTGATTATCTAATACAATTGTTCATTCGACAATTATATACATATATATGACAGACTAGCGTACGTTTGGCGAATGTCACGTGCCGTGTTTCACACTTATTAGATGTACTTTGATATATTATGATGAATTAATGTTATCAGCTACTATATTTAGATTAATTAAGAAGAGGAAAAACAAGCCTAATAACCTCTGATAAATTATACATGAATATTCCTTCATTGCAACGACCTTCATTGTTTTTAATCTAGTATGTATATGTATGCAGTCGATTAATAATTTGTTAAATCTCAGTCTAATGACAATCAAAGGCAAGACAAATATACAGTAAGTAGGCCAACCAAATTCAAAAGGTAGACAAGCAACTGATGATGATGATGGGTGGGAATTGGAAAATCGATAGGGGGGATGGAAGGAGCAATAGCTTAGGTTTGGTGGTTGACTGTTGATTAAAGGGACTTTGCTGAGTCCAATTCAGCAATGTTGCAATTGCCAAGAAGATGCTTCCCTAATCGGTATGCTTATTATGGGCAACGACTAGGTTGTTCTAATTCTAAGCCATTACTCATTAGTGTACAAGCTAAGCCGAAACATAAACAAAGATAGAAAGTTTCGACGATGTTATTATTATGATGATGTGAGGGAGAATCATTAAATACATGATTCGGTTGTGGAATCTACTGTTATAGAGCTTGTCAATCAACGGGTCGACACAGAGATTGACCATGACACGGTGAGTAAAACATGCGCAACATATATGTGGATCGACCCGCAGCTTGGTTTTCAAATTGGAGGTTATATGTCATCGTTTTTATCTCTAGTTTGTGAATTGCGCTTCTTTCCCGATTTTTCCTTCGCCTAATCCTATATTTGAAATTCTAAATTGAACATTTGAAAATTGATGTTATATGAGTGCATTTGAATTTTTTTCTATATTTTTTTTGATGAATTAGTGGGATTTTTTCTTCTTCTATATATTGAATCCAAGTACGAACTATAATTTTGGTGTAATGTTATTACGTATTACCCATATATTACATGACATTTGATATAATCTATAAATATATTAACAATAAAAATAATGTTTCTCATATATTTGAGCTAAACTGGCTAAAGTGATCGGACCATTAACGCTCAACCCACTTACTCGACCGGACCAATGGGATAAATCGGGTTGACAACCTTGGCGTATACCAAGAAAAAAATCCAAAAGAATATCTATTGAGTTTTATAAGAGAAAATCAAAATCAAAGGCTCACAAACGTAACTACACATTATTTCTACGAACACCTACATCGTAATATCATCAAAAAAATTCCTACAAAAAATTATTTATGTTGAGACCGGATAGCTCCATTATTACGATATTGTCCGCTTTGGGCCAAACTTGTATGGTTTTACTTTTGTGTATCCTCCGAAAAGGCCTCGTATTAATGAGTTTGGTGGACACTTATATACAAGGGTCCCTTCCCTTGAATTACCGAAGTGGTACTTGGATGGTTTCATAGCAATCATCCCCTTAAGACAAGGACTAAGAAATTCGTGTCCTCTCCTTAGCGATTATCTTGATCCGCCAGACCATATGCAGATTCACAATTGAATCTACCAGACACACGCGGACCTCCCGTGATCCGCCAAACAGATGCGGATCTCATATTCCGAGATCATCGAATGAGGGTCCACCGAACTTGACATCCATCGATTCGAATTCACCGAACTAGGCTCGAATACCACTTGTCGAAATCGGATAGCTCCATTAGTTAGTACGATAACGTCCGGTTTGGCCCAAACCGAACAATGTTACTTTTGGGTATCCTCTTCAAAAGACCTCGTGCTAATAAGCTTGTTGGACACTTATATACAAGAATCTCTTCCCTTGTACTAACGATTTGGTACTTGGATTGTTCTATAACAGTTTCTATAAACACTAACATTCATGAATTATCCATATATTGTTATAAAAAGAGTAATATTGTAATAAGATTCAACCAACTCATAATTTTCATATTATTAAGTTTAACACAAAATAACGTCGTTTTACTTTTTGAATCAGAATCTAGAATATGTGACGAACCAAATTTAACACTTCACGATATCGCGTCTCCCACAAAAAATTTTCTTTTTTTAAAAGAAAATCGGTCAGATGAGATCATGATTGGGAAGCGGGAAAAAACGGAAGCCAGTGATTAGGTGGCCAATTAATTAAAGCTTAATCGCGGTCATAATCATACCCCGTGGCTGACCCGCTAATCAAAACTTCTGCAACACACTCTAAACTTCTTGGCTTATGGACTAGGTACTAACTAGGTAGGTGTAAAATCATCAGTATCGTAAGCCGCCTAATCGCCCGAAATTGACCGCCAACCGCCGATGATGGAGATTTAACGGGCCGGTCAATTTAGTCTGGTTAGTTGGTTGGTTGGTTGGTTCTAATCAACAACCCGAAATCACCCAATCAACTGATGGTTCCTGCCATTCTTCTTGGCTCACGTGGCAGAAACCAAAAGATGCGCGTTACTCAATTCTCGAAATCTTTATTAGTCGTTTACACTACTTCAACATGAAACATGCCTCACTCACTTTACACTACTTCAACATGCTCCTTTCATGGAGGAAAGAAAAAGGCTACGGCATTTGATCTGACCAACTAATTGCTTTGGTGGAAAATTAAAACATTCCTAATCTTTTCCCGACAAAGATATTGTCCGTTTTGGGTCTCAAACCCTTACGGTTTTCGATATGGGGTGCAATTCAAGGTGACTTCCCATAAGGTCTCACCCATCCTTGTTGTACTCCACACTGAGCATGTTTAACTTCAAAGTTCTCACAAGAACTCCTCCATTTCACCCCAAAACGCGTCTTGTCAGTTAAAGTGTTACAATCACCCCCCTTGGGACTCAACGTCCTCGTTGAGGTTTGCCCCACCATCGTTCAAGAGGGGAGCGGAGAGGCTCTGATACCCACTTGTAACATCCCGAACCTTTTCCCGAATAAAATATTGTCCACTTTGAGCCTCAACCTTCATGGTTTTCGACATGGGGTGCAATTCAAGGTGACTTCTCATAAGGTCATGCATCCTTGTTGTACTCCACACTGAGCATGTTTAACTTTGAAGTTCTCACAAGAACTTCTTTATCTCACCCAAAACGTGTATTGTTAGTTAAAGTCGATTTCTTACTTATGAACCATGGATCTCTCATGTGTTTTGTCGATGTGGGATTAAAAAAGGTGTTACAAGATTAAAAGGTGATGTCCAATGTCGAGCAAAGTAATTCAGCACCTGCGTCTTTGGTTTGGGCTGTTGGACTCCTAGCTGTACCTTTAATTGGGCTGGATCAGAAAACTAAATGGCCCACGACTTCTCCTTCTTGGAAATTTGGAATTTCCCCCCAATAGATTCCTCTCGATAAGAGGTGGAACAAAGTTCACAAATACAAAGAACCTATTTAATATCTACTATATGTAACCAAGTAACAAAATCAAAACCTCACTAGTAGCTGAGGTGACAAACCCAGAGCATAACGCGCTACCGAATGAGTTGCTCTGTTATTAGCTCTACCAACGAAACGAATTGAAGCTGCTAGTATATCCTGAAGAAGAAATGCAATCTCTTGTAGCAGAAGCCCCAATCTTCGAATCACTTGTCTCTCCCTGTTCGGCATTTGTCTATAAGCACTTTAGCATCACCATAGAATGCAAATACTCATTAACTTACGTTGAGAACATTCACGAAGACAATCCCGCAGAGCCAAGACCTCTAAAACGGAAGGATCGGAGCAGGCAGCCTTCATAACGA